TAGATCTTAATTAAGATAAAAGTGACAGCTTAATAAAGTGGTTGTTTATGAAATCATAACTTGGTAGAAATGGATATAGTAAAATGGTTTGGTCAATAATCTGGCCTTCGGATAGCTGTCTATGCAAACCCCAATTTCAAAGTATCTAAGGCCAAAACCTAAATTTCTGCAGGCCCAACTACAACAAGTTAAGGGCTGGCCCAATGTTAAAGTTGTCCAAAATGGGCCAGCAGTGTAAATGCATCAAAATTGGCCAAGCAACCTCAATAACAAAGAAAGTGGCCCAATGCCATTTTAAACCCAATAAACAAAGCTGGTCCAAATTTCCAATTATCAGCTTTTCAAATAACTTTCAATTTGTCATATTTTCTTCTAAACTATGTAGCTTAATTACCTATGTAACTTAATAACTTTAGTAATTAATTTAAACGCTAGGCAATTAGTAAGCGCGTTTTAACTTTTTCGCTCACAAATTTGCTTGCGTATAGTGATATTTAATATTCAATAAATAAATTCAATAATCATATACCGTATCTAATAGCTTTAATTAATTTCTAATTTAATCAATCCTTGGCTAACTGCATATTCGCTTGCGTAGCATGATAGTAATTTTGTATTAGTTTTCTCAAGGCACAATTGTAGTAACTTTTTTCCAAAAATAATAATAATAATATTAACGTGCTAATAATCCTTTGTCATGACTGCGGATTCTCTTGCGTAGAACTATTATGATAAAATTAATTAATTTCGTCTCGATCACGCATTCGCTTGTGTAGTATCGTTATGGCATCTTATCGTTCAAAAATTCTTCAATTTTTTCAATAATCAAGCAATTAAAGCGGATAAGTAAAACATGAAACTCTTATAAATTACAGTTTGTTCAAAATTTATTCAGGCCAAGTTTAAGTTAATAAAGCGACCGTGCTAGAACTACGGGGCTCGGGGAATGCCTTACATCTTCTTTTCGGTCAACAAAATTCCTTACCCGAACTTTTGTTTCGCAGACCGATAAAATAGAGTCAAACCTTCCTTTGACTAGGGATTCAAATAAAAGGTGACTTGGAACAACAGAAAAAAAAATCAATTCCAAATGGCGACTCTTTAAATTAAATAATCCCTACTCAAGTTTGTCACTTTAATTGGAAAAACTCTTTAACCTGTAATCCATAAAATACATATCTTTTTGGGGTAAAAGGGGGTGTGACACATATGCCACAAGAAACGTACCATAGGCTTGACCGTAGTGGAATACTCTACTAATTGAGCTCATTCAGTCAAGGATCAAGTAGGTCTTTATTTGTTTGTAATATAGGCTGCGGGATGGGTAGGATACATTTAGATATAATGCCTACACCTCCCTAAGCACTTTAATACATATAAATTAAAAATTCAAACCTCATACCTATGTTGAACCAAACCCCAACCTTCATTCATAATAGCACCAAGCTCCCAATTTCTTTAAGCACAGACAAAGCAAGATTTACCACTAGCAAGGAATAATTTTCTTTATAATATATACACACCAACATTATTTTTCTTTTTCTAGATTCTGATTTTGTCCTCTTATTTTTTCAATTCCCTACAAGTGGCTCTCACAACAATTTGTTTCAAATAGTGCATCTTTTTCCTTCTCTGTGTTTCCACTCAAAACCCTAACCATACATCCACTTAGCTTTTAACAAGCTCATAAATATATTAAGTGCTCAAGAGAGATAAAAAGTTCAAACATATGGTTAATTCAAACAAAGTGGATCAGGCTTGCAGTGTTGTTGGCAAAGAAATAGGATCACGGGCTCAACGGGGTTAACTAGGATACACAACAATTAGGTGGGTCACAGACATATAATTGTCTCAATAAAGAAATGTCTATATCACTTCCTAGACTGAACAAGACTACTATTTTTCTTTGCAAACACACGGGGCAAGTTCTAGACATCACTGAAATGCACAAAATTTCAACAAAAACCTCACTCATATATTGGCACATAACTTACTTAGGATCGGATCTATCCTGACTCTCTAGTCAAAACAGTTAAGCAAAGTTGCAATCACACAATTTAAGGTGCTTATTTAGGAGTCAAGAACTGAGCCTAGGCGTCACAAATAAGGTACTCTTTACTTTCAAGGCATAGCAAAGTCAAGGAAAGTCATCTCCATTCAATACATAGCACAAGACTACACTACTCTTAATAAAAGAAAGAATAACTACACGTGATTCAAGCAAAACCCTTGAAAAAGAACCGCGGTATAAAGATAAACCAGAGGGGAATTATTACACTACCTACGGAAAAAAATAAAACAAACCAAAAGAAAATCTTTTTATTCTTTTTTCTTCGACTTTAATCCCTCAAGAAACCCATCGATGATATCCTTCGTCGGGAAAAAATGATAACTTAAAAAAGATTCAACTTTTCTATCTCTAACTCCGACAACTAACAATAAGGAAAACTAATATACACACACACACACATACATACATACATACATACATACATACATACATACATACATACACACACACACACAAATATCCCCCACCCCACACTTTAAGTTGTGGCATGTCCCCATGGCACACAATAAAAAAATATAAGGTAAAAGAAAATTTCCCCATCATCTAGTCAGGGTCTGAGTCGAAGTCGAACCCCATTTCTCACGCCCAAACTAATGCACACATCCATGCAGATAATTTTTTCTCGGACTTTTTTGGGTACACCCCACACTTATATTTCTCGCTCACCGCAACCTTCTATTTCGATCCCTTTAACTTCCACTCAACACTCGCAACTTTTTTGTCCTTTTGTGCCCCATTTGCAACATCCATCTTAAAAGTCACAGTCTCCTCACCAACTCTAAGCATGAGTTTTCTCTCGTGTATATCTAATATAGCTCTACCCTTTACTAAAAATGGTCTTCCTAGAATGAGAGAGACCTCTTTATTTTCCTCCATATTCACCACTATAAAATCTAAAGAAAATATAAACTTATCCACCCGAACTAACACATCTTGCACTATCCCCTCGGGTGTTATAGTCATTTGGTCTACCAGCTGCAAAGATATGAGTGCAGACCTTATCTCTCCAATCTTCTTCTACAATTTTCTATAGATAGATAGAGGCATTAAATTAATTGAAGCACCTGAATCACATAACGATTTATCAAAATTAATAGTTCCTAAAGAGAAAGGTATAGTAAAACTTCCTGGATCTCCACATTTTTATGGGAGTTTATTTTGCAATATCGCGTTGTAATGCTCGGTGAGCTTGACCACTGAGGTCTCCTCTATTTTCCTCTTCTTCGTAAGGATCTCTTTCAAGAATTTAGCATAATCAGGCATCTGTGAGAGCACTTCTGTGAATGGTAAGTTTACATGAACTTGTTTCAGCACATCCAGAAATCTCTCAAACTACTTGTCCGGTTTTTCTCTACTTAGCTTTTGGGGAAAGGGTAGAGAATACATATTCTTGTTCTCCTAAGGTTCCTCCCTGCTCGAATTTTCTCCCTTCTTCTTTTTCTTAGCTTCCATATAGCATTTCTTCTTCTTATCAACATCACTTTTCAGTTACTACCTACTTTCCTTTTCAAGTCTCATATCTTTTTGGGTTGAGGTGAGATCTTTCAACACTTGCCCACTTCTCAACGTTACAACATTCACTATTTCTTTGGAATTTCTTTATGTATCATTCGGGAGCGTTCTTAGGACCCACTTAGATATTAGAGTAGCTAGTTTCCCAACCTGTCTTTCCAAATTTCAAAAAGATATGCCCAGTTCTTTGATAGATGCACCATACGCGTCAAGCCTCTCATATGTCTTGATAATGAAATCCTTCATTAGATCTTCCATGCTAGACTGATTAGACTTTAGAGGCTGCTATTGCTGCCTCTGCTGATTTTGAAAACCCGGAGCTCCTTGTCCCTAGGATCTATAGTTACTTTGTTGTCATGAGTCCTAGCTACTATTTTGTGAGTTCCACGAAAAGCCTGGGTGTTTCTGTCCTAGGATTGAAATTATTACCACTCTGGTAATTGCCTATATCAAAACTTCCCACAGAATTTACCACTTCATCTATAGTTCCAGCCTGACACTCAAACATTGGATGACTCTTTCCATAGAATTCACAAGCAGGTGATGGTTGACTCTGGATCTTGGCTAAGGTTAGTTTTCTTATCTCTTTGGCCATGGCATTTAGTTGGGTTTGCACTGCTGTATTGGAATATACTTGAGGAACCCCAACTGATTTTCTTCTATAATTGCTCTCAGAAGGCCATTGGTTAGCATCTTCAGAGAGCTCATCAAGAATTGCCACAATCTCCTTCGGAGTCTTCTTCATTAAAGGACCTCCAACTGCAGTGTTCAGAGTTCATCGTGAGGGAGGTGTTAGTCCATCCCAAAACTCTTGGAGATGCATCCACAATTTAATTCCACTATGCTGACACTTCCTCACTATCTTGTTGAATCTTTCCCAAGGCTCGAAAACTGTTTCGGTGTCCGTCTGGAAAAAGTTGTGAATTTCCTTTCTGAACTTCACTGTTTTTGCAGCTGAGAATTATTTATCAAGAAACTTTCTAGTCATATCTTCCCATGTCCTAATCGACCCTATTGGAATGCTACGAAGCCAATGCTTTGTGTTATGCTTCGGTGAAAAGGGGAATGCCCTTAAGTAGACCGCATCCTTTGATACTCCATTGTATTGGGAAGGTGTTCATGATTTTTTCAAAGTCCATCAAGTGTGTGTTAGGATCTTCATTCACCTTTCCTCTGAAAATGCAATTATTTTGGTTGTTTGAAGCAAGCCTTGCTTCAACTCAAAATTATCCTTTGCTACTGGTAGAGGTATGACACTGGACAATCCATGATTGTAGACTGGTCTGGCATAATCACCCAATGCTCTACCAGGCATGGGTACCTCATTCTCGAACGGATCTTCAATCAAGGGTCGATTCAGATTGAACATTCGACCCCCATCATCGTTGACGGTCTCATCAGCAGCTCTACGGGTTGCCTAAGCTACTATCCTTGTAGGTTCTTCTCTCTGTTGTGCTGCTTCTCTTGCAGCCAGATTTGCCGCATCTTTACTGTGATTAGCCATGTGTTCTTGGGTTGAAGGCTGTCCCAAGAACTTTCCGATGAGTTCTTTCTCTTTCCTCAACTTTTGCAGACTCTTTTCTACCTTTGGGTTGTATGGAATCAATTCCTTTGAAGAAGATCGAGTCATACACCAAAGGAGTCAATATGTTGCATGTGCATGGAAGAGGAAACCCATGAAGAATAAAAAATAAAAATAAAATAAAATAAAATAAATTACTGAATTAGCACCAAAAACTATTTTGAACACTATTGATTTCCAATCTCCAGCAACGGCGCCCAATTTTGAAGAGCACAAAATACACTTAAATTATACTCGCTAATCAAAGACATCATAGTATAATATCGTATCCACAAGGATTGGATTTAAACAGTATTCTCGTAGCTTCTATCTTGATTGCTATCCAGGTGGATCAACAGTTAAGATATATATGATTCATAATTAAAATTAACTAAGAATCTAAAGCTATTGACTAGTGACTATCGAGACAAGGAATAAGCAAATAAGGTTATCAATAGGACAAGTTAGGGTTTTGATAGGATAGGTGCAAGATAATTGTTCGGGATCTAACTCTAGATAGTTCACTTCTAATGTTCAAGTGAGTCTCTCGAATTCACTCACTTATTGGTTCAAACGTTCAGTAGAAACTCCTCTCTCTATTAAACCTTAACCTCACGAGACGAACCAAATTAAGCACTGTGAAGATATGCAAGAATGCGCAGCGGATTGGTCTTTAGGAAAACTTATTTCAATTATTCTCCTAACCAGGTTTAATCAATGATTCAACTAGCCTCTTTTGAATATTTAGAAGAATCTATGAACTCGACCAACAATATAATGCAAAGATATCACAAGTTATGCCTCTCTCGATTATATGAACTAGTGAATATAAATACAACAATTAAATCTTCCAAAATAATTCAATACATAAATCTAGAGTTATAATTTATAAACAATCATCAATACACTAAATCCATCAAACCCTAAAGGAAACTACTCCATAGACATGGAGAAATTCATCACAAATATAATTAAGGTATAGAAAAACATAGATTCGGTCCAAACTCGGGTCTTGAGTGAGGAAGGAATGATGAAATCCTTGTGCTTGTGTTCTTCCAACTCATCCTTAGCTTCCTTAGGTAGAAAGTATGTCAAAAGTCCTCTCAAAAACGTGTTTCTAGTGTATTGATACCAAGTAGGAACGAACCCGGATGAAACTACCCTCTTTGAGCTGAAGTGGAAAAACCTACAGACTTTTTACACTTCATGCGTCGCACTATGCTACGCAGGGTGCGTAGCACTAGTGTATTTTGCTCGGTTGTAAACTCTCTGAGCTTAGCTTGTCTAACGAATTTTTGTACTAGTGTGACGCTTAATGCCATGCCTTATGCGACACACTAGTACTTTTTTTTGCTCTAGCCCTTACTCTTTCTTCCAACTTTCGTATGCAACGCCGGTCCACGAGCACCAGACGCGATCCCGGTTTAATTCCTTGGGCTTTTACTCGGATTTCAAAGCTCCAAATTATCCGATTTAGCTCCAGAACATCTTCTTCACTTAGCATCATCTCCTACAAAGCATAAAATACACAATCAGTATAAAACACTATCAATTAAAGCTCAAACACAAGTATAGTGAATTAGTGTGCAAAATGCGGCTAAAACACGTGTTCCTAGCCTACCATCAATTACCATATACCTATTTTACCTTCTAAATTATCAACGTTTGTCTTCTTTTTATTTTTATTTTAAAAAATATATATATTATAATTTTTTTTCTCTTTTAATTAATATTATGGTTTTACTTATAGAATAAATAAATTTTATTTATAAATTAAAAAGATAAAAATAGTATTTAAGCATGTATAATGTTGGAATAATAAAATGTTGAGAATAGTAAAAATATTAATTAGAACAATTTGTTAGTAATGATATTTTTTATGTTAATAATGAAAACTCAAAATTTATTTACATAATTGAGAATGAATGAAAATAAATATTTTAAAATATATATATTCTATCAACGTAATATAAAAAATAATTATTTAAAATAAAGATATTATTATAATATGCATTATATATTCTTGAAGATTATGCTCAATTATATTATTATTCCGATATTATGTATGCTAGAAAACCTTTTTATTTTAAAAATAAATTTATTTGTTCTTTAGGTAAGTCCATAATGTAGATTAAAAAGATAAATGAATCATAATATTAAAAAAAGATAAGAGTTGATAATTTAGAGGGTAAAATAGGTATTTGACAATCAAAAGATTGAGAAATCTGGTCGAGTGACATTCTGAGTGTTATAGGCATAATTAAGTGATTTTTCTGTTATAAACAAAAGAAAGATGACTTTATTAGATAACTTTGGATAATTGAGTAACCATTTAAATAATGAACTCTACTATACAACTTTAATTTTTAGTTAAGTAGTGTAGGGTNGGAATTACTTAATCGTAGCTAGTGAGATATGATGACGGTGGTAATAGAAAGTTAAAATGGCAACGACTTTTAGAGTAATTTTTATCAATCTGGGAAATATAGAGTATGTTTCTTTTTTAATTCGCTACAAGATAAATAATTTCACGCTTAGACTATGGAATTCGGAGATACTGCTTTATTCATTAATTGATACACATACCCACATTAAAACAACTTTTAAAAAAAATCTCATGGCCACACTTGAACTGCTAGTTTCGAAATAAGATACGCAAAGGACCTTAAAAGGGCCCAAAAAAAATAGATTACTTTAAATTTTAGCGGGCTACATGGTACAGAAAGCTGATAAAACTTACCATCAAATGATATATGGCTCTACAGAAAAATAAATATTTATAACTCTAATTTATTTCCCTTTTAACAACGAATCTATGCAAATAATTATATATTAAAACCAAAAAAAGTAAGCAAACTACCTAATAATTAATTTTTATGAGTAATTAGCATAATAGATCCAGTCAAACAAAGATTGTGTAATGTGATTGTGAACTTTCCCCAGTTGGTGCCACCTTAACTAAATTCTGTGCCACGAATTAGAGCTTAATTTCACGTATTATTACTGAGGTTTACCCATTGTAACAATAAATTTACAAAATTGTTACTAGGCACATTAAAATAACTAAAATTTTACCCCTATGAAAGTAAAATTCACAAAAATATTTTGTGTTACATTAAAGTAACTCAACTATGTATGTATTGCTCAAAAAATACAAATGATCATAGGTTCAAGTTTTTCACACGTTACTTGTTATGTCATGCAGTACATTTCATGTAAGAGAATTTCGTTTATCCATATTTTAAATAAAAGACAATTAAAAAAAACCTTTAAATCGAGCCAAAAGAATAAACAATTACGATATATAGATATCCTTCAGTTCCTAAACCAAACCCTTTTTTTATATTGTAGTTGTTGTTTTCCCTTTCAAACTCAATAATTAAGGAAGATTACCTGGTTGGTGGTATTTGCAACATCTAACTCGGTGATCCAAATTGGCAATCCAGCTGAAGCAAGCATATCAAGAGAAGATCTTATATAAGGCAAATTTGGGGTGACAAAATGTCCCTGGAGTCCAATTCCTAAAGGGCCATTGTAACCATGGGATCGAAGCTCTTTAATCTTTTCTAGGTACTTAGCTGGATTTGAAGTTCCATCAAATCCATGTTCAATTGTATTGAAATCATTCAAGAATGGAATTGCCTTGCTATCAATTTCATTAGCCTTTTTGTAGTAAACAGCAGACGCATTCTTCCCTAGAATCTGCTCTAAGAACGAGAAGTGGACATTTTCATTCACAACATCCCAATGAATAAGTTGGCCTAAATATCTATTCATTACTGAATTTATCCTTCTTGATGCAGCTGAAGATAGTTGTGCTGGTGAAAGATAGTGCGCCCACGAGGGTATATTCTGAGGATTATCCCAAAAGACATTGTGGCCGCGGACTTTAATGATATATTTTTGGACAAGACTAAGCATAGCATCGGCTACGTTGTAGTCTAGTTGGCCGGGGATTTTCTCGTTGGCGTACCATTTCATTTCGTTTTTGAAAACTGTGTATTTGAATCTTGAAGTAAACCAATCTTGATAGGCTTTGTTGTTTAGGATGTGTTGGCTTATTGCATTACCAAACGGGAAATTATTCTTCTGTTGTGCCAGGGAGACAGTTGTGTTTGGTAAAGATTGGCCATGAGAATCCACTGCTTGGATTTTCACTTTAGCTTTGCGTACCTGCGGCATTTTCTAGTGATTTTTTAGAATTTAGCTTACATAAACTAATTTTTTTTAATACTATCAGAAAAGTTATAAGATAATACATGCAACCTATATTAAGATTGTAACATGCTATAATATGTTAAAATCATTGACAACATAAAAAAATTATATTATTGTCAATATATATAAATTAAATCCATTTTAAATGAGAAATCTCGTGAAATAAAATTAAACATATCGTAAGAACTAGTTAAGTTATTTTCCTTCATATTTATATATTGTCACGACCTGGCGCTCAGCTGAGAGAACCCGGCCGAGCAAGCCTATTAGACTTCCTTCTACCCAAATTCATCCGTGAATAAAGAGGAGATGTACTCCATTAATCAATCACTGAAAAGATTTTATTAACAACTTCCTTTTCATTCCCATTAGCAGCTTCATTCATAATTTCCAAAACATTACGAGTTTATAGAATTAATGAAAAATATAATTTTCAAGTACCAACATTTCTAGTTCAATTCCCAACATCAACCATAACCCACAACCTGTCTACGGAACCTCTAAGTACAATAGAAAAGTAATATGGAAATGCTAGTAACAAGGCCCCGGCTATACCTCAAAACACAGTACATGAGAAACAAAAGATACATGACCCCGAAATGAAGTGGGGCTCACCAAACCAGCTGAAAAAAGTGCACTGCTACCACTGATCAATGCCGCCTACTGAAGAACCACCTGCATTCATTAAAGATGCAGCGCCCCCGGCAATAGGGACATTAGTACTGTCGAATAGAACTAGTATGTATAGCTAAAAATCCTCTTTCAAAATAGAATGCCCATATAAGAAAAGGCAACACATAGAAATAGCAAGTCACAATCAACAATATCCAAACGTCCAGTTATAACATAATAATTTTCAAAATATGAACTTCATATATAATTTTGGTTGGGAGATCATTAGCACCGATATACCACCGTCTTTGTTATCACGGAGTCCGATCACACCCGATCGGCTAGGCCATCTCCCCACGAACAATGTGGTTTGACATGTGATGCGAAAGAAAGTTGTTACCAAGAGTAGTACTACCATATGCGCAATATGGCGTCTGATCTCCACGATCAGCAAGGCCGCCTTCCCATATATGCCATGTGAGTTAACTTTTCCAATCCACAAAGGTTCCAGTTTCATCCCAATTAAGGGGAATAATATCACAATCCACCCCTACACCGGCATGTGTAATTTCAGGTGTGGGCCTCATGACCCACCCTTCCTCAGTATTGCTAATGATGCTCCCAAAAATATTTTTGATTTGATTTGCAAACAGAAATATCATAAATATAATTGTACTCACCTCAACATCTTTCACATTGTGAAAATTCTCATTAGTATTCCCAGTCATTCTCAACGACAATATTTCCTTGGCTCATTAGGCCATTCACAAGATTCTTTATTCGTGGCACGATGGTCGTACTTCATATTCCACACTTTCACCTCTTTCAATTTCAAAGATCACCATTAAGTATCAACATATAGCTTATTTCAGAAATCGTATATTTGAAATCCATTTGAAATGGAAACTTCAAATACAAATGATTTCTTCCCATAGAATGAGTCATACCATCCAACAATAGAAACACACATGAAAATCATAAACAATCAATACATAATTTATTCTTACAATGCTCTTCCCTAACAATTGCAATGCACCAGTTCAACACATGAGTATATAGAACTCGAATCACACTAGATATATTTATAAAGAAAAGCATTAGTTAAAGCAACCACTAATGGGCATGAATTGAGTACAAAAGCTTTTAGGTAATTCTATCTTCAAAGTCATTTTTAAGCAATTGAGTCGAGGCTCATTTTATATTCTTTATCGCGCCTTCTCGAATAATTTGCACTATTAGACACAATCATAACTTAAATTCTTGGCATGTTGGCCACACTATATAGCCCCAATTAACTTATTTCACTTCCATCCATCTTTATAGATTATCAACAATAAGACATTTTCAAATCAAGACTTTAGGTACACAAATGAGCAATTAAGAGTCTTAAGAATATTGAGATATTCTCACACAATTTGGCATACTATCTTTCATTGAAACACGACTCAAGCCATAACCTTTAAATACGCAACCCATACTTTGAAACTTACGGAAACATTATGAAATTCAATTCCAAGAGAGAAAGTTTAGCCAACATACCTCAATTGAGCTTCCTTAATTCTAGAATGATCCGGAATTCTTAGCAATCCCTATCTATTTTGAGACATAACAAAAATGAACCATAAGTAGGAAGATATTCATGGTCATAGCTCATTTGAGCATTTTATCAACTACTAGATGTGTAAATTTAACCACAAGGTTCTTCTACAGGATTTTCTTCACTCCACAACCCAATCCTTACTTATTTCAGCTCAACAATCTCCCCACGATTCTTATTGATACATGCATGTATAAATAATAATCTCATACCCATGAATCATACTCCTAATCAACCATCTTCTACCCAAACTCGAAATTGAAAATTAGGGTATGGAACCTTACCTCTTAGATGAAGAACTTGTGGGTTTTCCTTGTTAATCTTCCAAGATTTGAGCAAGACTTGATGAATAATTAGCCTAGGGTTTTCTTCTCTCTTTAAAACACTCAGCCTTCTCTCTAAAACATCAGATTTTTGCTCAAAAATGACCCAAAGCGTGTATTTAATGAAGTAGGGTCGGGTTTTAAAAATCCAAAATGGAGCTCCGAAACTATTTCTGCGGTCGCATATGCAACCGCATATCGGTCGCATAATTATAGACCAAAACGATCAAAAAGTTGTCCGTGTATGCGGTCGCTATGCGGTCCGCATAACTGTTATGCGATCTCATAATGCACCGCATAACAGTTATGCGGTCGCATAGCCAACCGCATAATTGCCCCCAGACTGGCCCTTCTCCTGCTCACTTCTGCGGCCATTATGCGGCCCGCAGAGTGATTATGCGGTCGCATAATGGACCGCATAAATGCGCTTTTCCGCCAAAAAGTTTCCTTCACTTTCCGATGCATTGTTCAACCCAAAAAGTCCGAACCGTGGCTCGTAAGCTCGCCGCAAAGATTTTATACCATCCTCGAACACGTAAGCCTACTCTGGCACCACGAAACCTTGAATTCACTTGCGAAATTTACGGGGCTTTACACTGAAATACTTCAAAAAATTTTGGGGTGTTACAAAAATCTCACCTATCGTGATGGCGCCTATCCCAATTCTAGGCAAGCCGACAATCTCAAATAACCGCAATTTTGTCTAAGGTTGAAAACATAATATTTGATTTCAATAGAAAACCTCACAATCACAGATACAAAACACTCCCAAAACTCGGTGTCACTGAGTACATGAGCATCTGAATGAATACAAAGTCTGACTGATAAAAACACTGTCCGAAAGTATAGAACAATACAATAACTGAAAGAAAGAGAGTCAAGGTCAGCGGACGCCAGGCAGCTACCTTGATAGTCTCTAATTGATAGCACTCTGAAATTTAGTAGTCGCCGTGTCCGAAAGCACCTGGATCTGCACACGAGGTGCAGAGTATAGTATGAGTACAGCTAACTCAATAAGTAACAAGACTAACCTTTGGGCTGAAAGTAGTGACGAGCTCAGCAGGTGCAGTCCAGTATAGAAATAACAGTACAGAAATGTAGACATGCTTTCAATTTCAACAACTAGCTCCGTACAAGTAAAATAGATCAATACTGAATGATATGAGGAATATGACATCTCATGGAAAAACCTCGTGTACTCACGATCACAAATTACGTAGTCACTCAGTACTGTATAAGGTTAATCCAGCCCAGGGAAGTTCCATCCCATATATATATACCTCAACTGACAGTCAGCGAAGCAGTACCGTATAAGGACAAATCCATCCCAGGGGTAAATTTATCCCCAAATTATAATGATTTGGACAAGATCTATGTCGAGGAAAATTCATCACAAATATAAATAAGTAAGGCAAGTCCATGCCCTAGAAAGTCCACCCCGAATATATAATCATCTACACACAAAATATAAATAAGTAAGGAAATTCCATGCCCTCGGAAATCCATCCCGAATATATAGTCATCTACGCTCATTGTGTGGGGTGAAGACTCCGGAGGGGCTCCTTCAGCCCAAGTGTGATATAAAGCTGATGTGGCCTGCTGCAGGTGGGCAACCCCGATTCATATAATAATAAAGCCAATAAGTCATGCTGCTGCATGCAGCCTCAATCTAGAACAATAAATCCTATAAGGCCAGCTGCAGCATGCAACACGAAATAATAATAATAATAATAATAATATATATATTAATTTAGATTTCATACTCAGTCATGCTCATCCATTGTGAGAATATTTATGGGAT